AGGCTACCGAGAGGGACGTCCGAGAGGCTTCGGAGAGAGAGGCTTCCGCGAGGCTTCCTCCGAGGGGTGCACTCCCGAAGAGGCCTCCGAGAGGCGCCGGAGAGTGGCGTCCGAGCGGCCTCCGAGAGGCATCCCGGGAAGTGCCCGAGAGGTTTCCGAGACGCGGTGCTTCTGTGACAGGCTTCCGGGAAGCTTCTCTGAGAGAGTTCTGAGAGGCAGGATGGACGCCGTGCAGGCCTCGGGAAGAAATAGCGAGCACTCATGCTGCATGTATCTGTCCACGCCGCCCCCCTCCCCCCGATGTTCAAAGTTGGCGGTGGGTCTGATGAGTTGCACCTCGACCGCAGTCTCCCCCGCGCGTGCCAACTTTGAGTTTTGGGGGGGAAGGGGAGTGTTCAGTAATTGTTTCCCTCTACCGTATGGGTCCAACGTGGGCTATCGAGCGCCATTAGAGGCCACCTTGGGGTATCTGGGCCGAACCGTCCGCCCCCAGTCTCCCGCTCAGGCTCAGGGGAGGTGGTAGGGGGAAGGGCCCCCTCTCTCCGAATAGTTGGTTTGGAAGAGGTGACCCGTTCAACCACCCAAGGCGATAGTGGGATTCACCAGCCCCTCTTGAGGAGAATCTGCTAAGAGAGGGGGGTCAGCGAACTGACGGGGAAAAGATGGAGCACGGCCTGGTGGGAAGGTCAATGCATGGATTCCTCGCTTGTGGGAGAGCCCCCCTAGTCACCACTCACATCCCATTCCCTCCCTGCCTCTCTTCCTTACGTCCATTCCCTCCCATTCCCCCCATGATTTGATACACTGTGCTGGTGATAACGTTGTTGCGCATGGTGATACTAATGATGGCGATGGTGGCGAAGCCGATGAGAATGGTGTCGACGGTGTTCAGAATGATGGTGATGTTCATGGTGATGGTGATGACTGTAATCTGTGGGATAAGGATCTCGGCGACTAGTATGCTTATTGGTGGCAGTCGTGGCGCGCGTGACGACGACGGTGTTGACGGTGATGCTCATAATGACTCTACTGTGAGTTTTGGTGTCCCCCACAAGGCAAGGCAACTGAACATCTCGCCCTCAAACACTGTATATCACCACAACGAACCTGCTCCACACCGTGAGACGTAAGAAAGCAAGACGGCCACCGAACCGCGATGTCGACGAGCCAATGCGTTCTAAACGAACTGTGGAACGTCGAGGAGGCATGGCAGATAAATGTGACGATCCTCGCAAAGCAAGGCCTGAGGCCCAAACTGTAAGAGAGACACACAAACGGGCCAGAGGAGGATAATGACTCTGCTGCTGTTGGTGGTGATGAGGGGCTTGGTGGGTATGCCTACGTCGGATATGACAACGATGTGAATGATGGTAGTTACGATGCCGCGTGCAAAGATGTTGGTGCTGATGTTGATGCTGTTGGCGTTGCGGGTGATGATGGCCTGTTGCGATGGCCATGGAACATTGATGAGGGTGCTTGTGCTGGTGATGAAGACGGTGATGGCGATCATGATGGAGATGCAGAAAACATTGTATTGACGATGGGGACGATCATGACGATGAGGACGACGAAATTAAAGGGGAGATCTTCGAAGGGACGTGGCGTGAAAGAGCACTGAGGCCACACAGTGGCCACAATTACCTACGCCAGGCCCGCATACATCGTAGCAGAGAGTACTGGGAAACAGCGAACACGATTTATAGTTTCAAGCGTCGTCGACAATAGGGCATCGTGCACTCTGGCATGGGGCACCGCGTGGAGTTGTAAGATTTGCCTCGGCGTTTGGCATAAGCTGGCGCGACTTACGTGAGGAATGTTGTGCATTTGTCGTACTGGATGAAGATGTACCCAGAGCTCGAGCATCGTATTTGCACCGCAGGGGAATTATTCCATGTTCAGCGGCCCCCTGTCCGCCAAAACACTTTGCCAACTTCAGCACCGCGCCGAAGCGCCAGCGACCGGCCGACCACGAGTGGGAGGAGTTGCCGGTCCACCATGGGGAAGGCGCGCCTGAGCTGTTGTTCCAGAGCGGACCGCGCAGATTTGCAACAGTCACAGATTGCCAACCTGGCGTAGCCAACGGGGAAATCTCACTGACCGATTCTCAGCTCGAGCCCCTCTTCGTCAGTGGCCCAACGTCCATTTCAGGTATTGGACAAGGGCTGGAGACCTGCACAGGACATCGATGACGCCATCCACTGGAGACCCTGGTAAGCCATACGATGGACAAGCGAAGATCATGGTGCCACCGTTTTCACCCACAAGGAGGAGGACGAGCAGGAGGACGAGGGGCTGGAGGAGGAGGAGGAGGAGGAGGAGGAGGAGGAGGAGGAGGAGGAGGAGGACCCCCTCCCCCTCCAACTTTGGCGGTTGTGGTGGAAAACAAGCCCATCAATTGCTATCTGGCATGTTTCTGCGGCAGCCCGGTGCCATCTTTCACTGCAGAAGTCATTGCCTCAGCAGACAAGGCCGCGAAATCATTGGCAACCACAGCCGCCCAGCAGCAAGAGGCTAACGGCCGTCAGCACGCAGACGCAGGCCCCGGGGAGAGAAGGAAGATGCTGGTGGCGGTGCTGGTTGTGTTGATGATTCTGGTCGCACATGTTCTAAAATGCTGATGATGATGGTGATGATAGCGGCGCTTCGATGATGGCGATCATGGTGATGATGCTGGTGATGATCAGGAGTGAGGGGGCCGAACGGTCATTCACTCACTGTCCCTGGGCGTGTGGCTGAAGTGAGGTTCCGCGGTACGGATTGCTATTTTTGCTGTTGCGTTGTTTGTTGCTTGTTGGTTGTTGTTTGTTGTCGTCCCACCAGATACCCGGTCCGCACCCACCCACGACCCACCCGCGACCCACCCGCGACCCACCCGCGACCCACCCGCGACCCACCCGCGACCCGCCCGCGACCCACCCCGCGACCCGCCCGCGACCCACCCACGACCCGCCCGCGACCCGCCCGCGACCCACCCCGCGACCCGCCCGCGACCCACCCGCGACCCACCCCGCGACCCGCCCGCGACCCACCCGCGACCCACCCGCGACCAGGCCCGCGATGTCCCCGCCGCCCCTCACTCTTATCCGCAACTGCGGGGTGCTACGTATTCGTCATGTTGCTGGTTACGTTGTTGATGCTGGCTCTGATGTCGATTACAAGGTGACGCTGATGGACATTATTGTGCTGGCGGCGATGCCGGTGATGCTGATAGCGCGGCCAGTGGTTCCCATCATGATGGCGATGTTGATGATGACGGCAGTGATGATCGTTATGGGCACGTTTGGGGCCAAAATTTCAATGTTCAGTGGTGGTAGTTGCAGTGTGCATGATGATGATGATGCTTATGATGGTGATGTTGGTGATGTTGGTGATGTAATCGGCCATCTGTTCGCGATGGACCGTTCCCCAGTGCTTTTTTTTTCATCTCATTAGCCGAGAGAAGGCCCGGAAGCCTGCCAGTGTGCTTTCGATGAGCTTGCGCGGCCACACTGTGCGAAGCACTGACAGAACAGAGGCGGCAACGGAGTGGGCCGTTCCCCGGGGGCCGCCGGGGAAAGTCCCAGCCCGCTGGGGAAAGGTCAAATCCATCGGAGAGGGAGCAGACACTGTGCCGATTCCCCCCCCCTTTCGTCCGAGCGGATCTTCCTACTCCCACCACAATACTCCCAAAACCCTGATTCATCGTCCTCCAGGTCCGGTTTTTTAAGGCGCCGTTCTTGTAACTGGGGGGGTCCGGTTTATTAGGGCACTTTCTTTGGATTTGAGCTCAGGGGGTCTGGTTTATTAAGGCGCCCCGTCGAAGAGGGGGGCCCGGAATATTGGGTCGCATTTGGAAGGGGGTCCGTTTTTTTTTTATGGGGGGGGATTAATAAAGGATTCACAACAGGCGCACACGATAAGAAATGTTACTGTAAGACCTCTAGGGTTAGGTAGGGCCTGTCCCCCTACAGGGGGATTTTGGGCGAAACGTGAAAAATACTCAAAAAATACCCCCTACAATAATCAAACATAGTCAAGACATCGTCCCCTGACTATTCTTCAACTATTTTCGAATACTCTTCCTGTAGAGGGACACGCCCGACTTAAATCTAGGGACACGCCCTTCCTCGACGCTGAGCTTCGCAGGGTGCCCAGGGCTGTGCGGCCCCGTCGGGGGCCACGAAACCATCGCGGGGCGCCCGATGTCCGACTGGACGTGCCTACTGTAGTTCCTCCCTCCTCTCCCCCTCCTCCTCCTCCTCCTCCTCCTCCTCCTCCTCTTCTTCTTCTTCTTATTCTTCTTCTTATTCTTCTTCTTCTTCTTATTCTTATTATTAATCTTATTATTCTTCTTCTTATTCTTCTTATTCTTCTTATTATTCTTCTTATTATTATTATTCTTCTCCTTCTTCTTATTCTTCTTCTTATTCTTCTTATTCTTCGTCGTCTTCGTCTTCTTCTTCTTCTTATTATTATTCTTATTCTTCTTCGTCTTCGTCTTCTTCTTCTTCTTCTTCTTCCTCCTCCTCCTCCTCCTCCTCCTCCTCCTCCTCCTCCTCCTCCTCCTCCTCCTCCTCCTCCTCTGAAGGGGCCCTGGGACACACAAATAAATACACACAAATAAACAGATTCCCATATTTTGTCATATTTTCTGGGTTTTTGCCTTCCTCCCCACTTCCCATATTTTCCCATATTTTCTGGGGAATCGACGATTAATTGTGTCTGTGTGTTTCTTTCCCTCCTGATCCTCCTCCTCCTCCTCCTCCTCCTCCCCCTCCTCCCTCCTCCTCCTCCTCCTCCTCCTCCTCCTCCTCCTCCTCCTCCTCCTCCTCCTCCTCCTCCTCCTCCTCCTCCTCCTCCTCCCCCTCCTCCCCCTCCCAGCCTCCTCCTCCCCCCTCCTCCTCCCCCTCCCCCTCCTCCTGGCCTCCCGGCCTCCCTGCCTCGGCCCCACGCCCCGCGCGCCGCGCACGCCCGGGCCACCTCCTCCCTCCGAGCGGGGGGGGCGCTGCTGGGCCGCGGGCGGCGGGCGGCCTTCCGGACCTGGGCCGCCCCTCGCCGCCCTCGCCGCCCCGCCCCGTCCCCGCCGCCCTCCGACGACGCGCGACGACCGGGAGCCCCCAAGAAACAGCGGGCAAGGGGATCGCGGAGCGCCAGGCCGTGCCAGGACTCCCAGACCCCCTCGAGTCATGAAAAAATCACGACGGGAGGTTTTTCTATGTTTTCGGCCTCCGGGGGCCCTTACCGGCCCTCGGGACCGTCAAAAAACGACTCGGGGTGAAAAACCGGTCCCGGTGAATAGGTCCGGACCTCTGGGGGTCGCGTCATGAAAAAATCATGACGTCGGGGGTCTGGGAGCGCCAGGCCGTGCCAGGACTCCTCGCGGATAATATTGCGCGGGGCGGCGGCGGCAGTGGCGGAGCCGCCACGCAGCGAGGCCCCGGCCAGAAGCGAGAGAAGTTCGAGGCCGCCCAGATGGGGGCCAGAGCCAGTGTGGTCAAAGGATCGCGCCGCATCGCCGACGCATCGTCGATGCACCGGCGACGCCGGGATGGAGGACCTCCGGCTCTGGGTGATGCAGCATCGCCGCTGCATCGGCGATGCGGAGCGATCCTCCGATGACATCTGCTCCGACCCAAATTTGGGCGGCCTGGGATGAGCAGATGAGAGCCGAGACTTCCGAGTCAAGAATCCAAGGCCTCCAGCACAACGGGCATTGAAAAACAATAAAATAAAAAACATAATGCCGTCGTTTTTGTTCACGAGTTCGGCATCAGGCGGCCCCGGGGAACTATTGCTTTAGGGAAGGGGATGGCGTCGGGAGCCCTGGAAAAACCCTGCACGGACATTGAACCTGTTGTTCCCGCCCCCCGAGCGGTGACGATTGGTGTTTCGGCACGTGCGCCCGCACAACCGGAAGTGCGATGGTGCTGCCTGCGTTCTCCACCTTTCCCTGGAACTCCTCCCCACATCGTGCACTCACCCCCCCGTGCACAATCTCGGGTGTGACAGCGCCCTCTGCGCTTTAGCCCTTCCCCCCCCGGGGTGTCCTCGGATCGCCCGCCCCCGCCCCCCCTCCGCACAGAGCCCCTTCTGAAGTGCGGCGGCCCTCTTTTTACTGCGGCGTAGTCCAGCCAGCCGATGGTGCCCTCGGCACGTTTGCAGGACACCTCTGGGGTGTGATGATCGGGTCGGGCGAAAGGGGGGGGATAGCAAAGGGGGGGGTTGAGAATCAGCTCACGTAGCTGATTTTCCCCGCGCCTCCCGGCGCCGGAGGCAGCTATGTATCGAGCAATGGGCCCCTCGGTGAGGCCGAAACCAGCTGCATGCAGCAAATTTCGTACCCCCCCCTTCCCCAATGCCCCCCCGTTTCGTCCGGCCCGAGATGATGAGGTGCGCGCTCTCGCCACTCCCCACAGGCCGTCAGGCACAGTTGGTGCGATCTGCTGCCGGGACGGGACGCGCATGAGCGCGAGCGTTCCGCTCGGTCTCCAGAGTGAAGAGGCTACGAGGAGTGCGCCTCCTGTCGTCGCCGTGGCGTAGGCGTCGTCGGCGTCGCCATTCACGACTGGACCTCCGGACGGCGCACGGGCGCGAGCTCTCGCCCGGGTGCGCCCACAGGAGCTCCCGCACAGGCTTGCTGGAGGAGCGACTGCTGCGCGCCAGGTGGGCTTGGGCCCCTCGGCTTCCCGGCTCGAGGGGCGGCGCCGAAGGCGACGACGACGACGGCGACGGCGACAGCGGTTGCGGCAGCGACGACGACGACGACGACGACAACGACGACGACGACGACGACGACGACGACGACGACGACGACGACGACGGCGAGGTCCAGCGATCAGAACGCGTGACGACCCAAGCGTCAGAAAAAAGAGGAGCAGGCCAGTAAAATTCTAGCAGGAGCCGCCAGAATTAAAGTTCTAGAAGGAGAGCCTCAACAAAACTCTAGAAGGCGCCTGGCCCCGTGACCTGGGCAAGCCGTCCTCGGATTCCATAGCTGCCCTTACCTAACATTCTACCAGGGCACAGCGGTCAGACAGGACCCGTGCGAAACACGTGAATGTCCCACCACGCGGACCCGCCCCAAGCCTAACGACTTCGCAGAAGCTCCGGCAAAGCAGAAGCTTCGGATCCGCATGGGATCCGTAGCGGACCCGTACCCGGATCCGACGCCCGAAGCGACGCTGACACGCCCGAAAGGGGACCCGCGTCACCGTCCTCGGGGACGCCCCTGCATGCGTTATCCGGCGCCCCACGCTGCCCCAACCGCCCGCGGCCTGCCGCCAAACGCCTTCTCCCCAGGCTGGCGGCGCCAACGGCCCCTGGACAGGCTGGACCATCAGTCGAGCACCTTCGTGCAATGTGGACGTTCGGGCCGAACTTCTCAAATCGTACCAACCTTTCTGACTGTCTGTAGGGATTGCCCTCGGCGCTTGGGCAAGCCACTTCGGAAATGTGATGACGCTGTCTGCATGTCAGCGGTTCCCCCGAAGTGTCCCGGCGCCTTTACCCAACACTGAGCTGTGATGCTGAATTATGCGCGGTCGCCCTCCCCCAATGGGTTGATCTCGGTGTTCCAACGAACCACCGTCAAAGAGTGTTGATGTGGCCTGGGGGCCAGCCCTTCCCTTTCAAACCTCCTCCTTCAAAACTCCTCCTCATCCCTCGTCCTCCTCCTCCTGCTCCTCCTCCTCCTCCTTTTCCCCCTCCTCCTCCTTCCTCCCTTCCCCCTTCAAAGCTCCTCCTTCAAAACTCCTTCGAAACTCCTCCTCGTCCCTCATCGTCCTCCCGTCCCTCCTCCTCCTCCTCCTCCGCCTCCTCCTCCTCCTCCTCCTCCTCCTCCTCCTCCTCCTCCGCCTCCTCCGCCTCCTCCTCCTCCTCCTCCTCCGCCTCCTCCTCCTCCCCCACCCTTCTCCTTCCCTCTCCCTCCTCCCGCGCCCTCCCCCCTTTTGCTCCCCCTCGCCCCCTCCCCTTCCCCCCCCCCCCCCTCGGTGGGCCGGGCGCCAGCGGACCCTGGTGCGCCAGAGGCGGCGAGGCCGCGGCGGGGCAGTGCCGCCGAGGCCCGGGCGCGCGGATCTGCTGCGGGTCCAGCCGCCGGTCCCCGAGGCCGAGCAGCCCCAGCTCGCCTCGACCGCCACCCGGAAGCGAGCCAGGGAGAGAGAGGGCGAGAGGTGCAGCACAAGAGGAGGAGGAGGAGGAGGAGGAGGAGGAGGAGTGAGAGGAGGAGGAGGAGGAGGAGGAGGAGGAGGAGGAGGAGGGAGGAGGAGGAGGAGGAGGAGGAGGAGGAGGAGAGGAGGCAGAAGGTAGAGAGGGGGGGGACGCATACCCTGGAGCGCTTGTCATGTCTGACGTCCGACTCGTCCAGCCCATCCCCTCTCGTTGCGCTGACTTTCTCTCTATCCGCCGATGGGCGTCGTAGCGAACCTCACCCAAAATGCCTCCCCCCTTCGTATGATGCGCGAGAGGGGAAGGATGGGATCGGCAGCAGGCGGCAGAGACGATAAGCAGTAGGACGACGGGGGAGGGAGCACCAAGGGTATGGCGAGAAAGAAGGAAGGAGGGGGAGGGAGGGTCGGGAGGGAGGGCGCAAGGAGAAGCGAGGAGGAAGAGGAGGACGGGAGGCAGAAGTGCGCAGGGAGGACGTGTGGAGCAGGAGGGGAGCAGTGAGGAGGGGGGGAGTAAGACCAGAAGAAGAGCAGGAGCAGCTTGGAACTGCTTGGCGAATCGCACGAGGGTGCTGGGAACAAACAGGCGACCCGAGGCCTCGCTGAGCCAACGCAGCCTGCAGCTGCGCCGGCATGCCTTCCCTCCTCGGATGCCCCACCCCCTGCTGCGCGACAGGCTCTGCCCCTGCTGGTGATGGGCTCCCAGGCGAGCTCGAGGCGCCTGGCGCCGAGGGCACCACGTCTGCCGCTGTCCGCCACCGCGTGGGGCAGAAGCGGCCCCGGTGCTGGCGCTCGTGGCGCGGGTGCCCAACCTGTTCGCCGCGACCGCCCCACCCTCGCCCCCGGACGCCGAAACCTGAGAGGGTCCAGGACGGAGACGCTCCGGGGCGTGGGGCACGAGGCGCCACCAGGGCTCCGGGGCGCCAGGACAGCAGCATAGCACGCTTCTCACAGAAACTGCTCGCTGATTTACAATAGGTTCGCGCGGCGTCGGCGCGCGCAAAGGTTTTTGACACCGCGTCGATCGTTCAACCTTGAATCGGGCGCGGCCCCGATCGTTGAAAGCTGAAGCCAGTCGGGTCCGATGGCATCGCCGTGTCCGTGGGTGCTTCCGCGTCGCAGAGTTCAATCTTGAACGCCTTCGCTAGCGCGCGCCGACGCGCCAACGCCTCATGAACCCACCGCATCTCTTCTCTCATCGGAACAAACTGAGCAGCGACCTGATGGGCACAGTGACCACACAAAAAAACAGCACAGAGCGAGCTGGCGCAGAGAGCGGCGCCTGCCGGTCCTTCGGCGGCCTCCCTCCGCTTCAGGGGCCTGCCTCCGCATCCCGGCGGCCAATCCGCACCGCATCGGCACGGCACGACCGCCGCAGCACCCACCGACAACCAAGCTCCATCATCGGTCAGGGCACGCCCTTGAATTAGACAGAGGTCAAGATCCCATGTAATACTGTCAGTGTGGAACACGGGCCCACTGGATTCTCAGAGGGTCAGAGGATCCCCCCCCCCGTGAAGCTCTGATATGACTCCACCAATCCTGATTGCTGCCCTGCATTGGCGCCCGGCGGCTTGCAGGAACGCAGCAATGCAGCAACGCGGATGATCAGCGACAAACGGGAGAAGGCCGCTGACCCCACCCGAAGACAAAGCAAACGCTGCGAACTCGGCTCCCCGAGCTGCCCGACGCCTGCCTCCTACGACCCTCGTCAAAATTAACCTCAAAAATGTATGACGTGGTTGAACTGCTTGTCGGAAGATCTGGGGCCGAGTATCGATGAGTGCGGGGTACTTGCATGCGCCGCCCCTCCAATGTCGGTCGACGTCAAACTTTAGAGTCAACTTCGGTCAGACTGTCCTTGCCCTCGCCCCGACATCGAAGGGGCGGCGTGTCGACATTGAAGGGCGCGCCGAAATCGGAATGACGTGCCGGCAACGTTTGAGGTTCATTTTGACGAGGGTAGTAGCGCAGATGGAGACGAGCTCCCGCCGGGAAGTGCAGAATGCGACGCACCCTTACCAACGACGCCCGCCGCATGGACGCTTGGATCGATAGTGGCACGGCAGCCGGGCCGACCGACCGACCGACGAGCTGCCCGACGCCTGCCTCCTAGATAAGTGCGCTCCCCTGCGGCAGTGCCCCACGCTCCAACCGCGCCCGCACTGGGGGCCTCCGCGGCCCATCCGCAGCGTCTCCTTCCGGGGGTGTCGACACCGCGCCGCCCCCTGGCCCGCTCCCGAACAGTTTTTTTGCTTGATCCGCTAACGAGGGCGAGGGCGAGGACGAGGGCGAGGACGAGGCAAAGGAGGCTGGGGCCTGTCCCGAAGCAGGGCGCGCCAAGGTGAAGCGGAGGGAAGGGCCGCCGAGGAGAGGCGGCAGGGTGGCCCGGCGGGCCGCCGCAGCCGCACGGGGGGCCGCCGAGGCAGGGTTGCGGGGGACCCTCCCTCGCCGACCCGCGCAGCCCCGCCGCCTGCGAGGAGGCGGCGGCGCAGCGAGGCGGCGGGGGAGTGCCCTTCTGGTCGAATCTAAGCAGGCCGCGCACAGCTTTCATTCACAGAGGGGGGAAACAGGAGGAGGGGCCTCACGTCGAGGCCAGGAGAGAGGGCAAGGCCCCGGGAACGGGCGGTGCCGAGAGCGGAGTGCCCGCTTCCCGAGCAGAGCAGCGCCGAGCTCGGGGCGAGGCTCGAGGGAGCCAAGAGACAGAGGGCCAACACCCGATCCCGCCTGAGAGCTTTTTTTATAGTAATATCCACCCGATCGATCTCAGGTCAAGATGGCGAGCGGGAGTGAGATCGAAGATGGGCAGAACAAATATCAGAACTCAAACGAATGGTTGAGTTTCGAGACATTGAATTCATAATTAGGCCAACAAAAAGACAAAACATCCCATGCTCGACCACCTCCCTCGGGAAGGGCAGCGCGCGGCCGCAGGCGGGCGCGAGCCCACGCCCGCGGGGGCTGCGGCCTCTGAGCCCAAGAGGACGGGAACTGCCGACAGCGGGCGCGAGAGAGCCAGTGGACACTGAAAAAGCTCAGCCCCGTCGAAAAGTTTTCGACGGGGCTGAGCATTAAACCGAACCCTCGGCATTTCGAACAGCTTTCGACGGTTCTCGGTTCTCTTGTTGGAAGAACGAGGGTTCGGTTTTAAACCGAGCCCTCATTCTTACAAAAAGGCCAGCTGCGGTGAAGCAGAGATGCCTCTTCCTGTCCACGTCCGAGGCGCAGACAGAGAAAAACGTGCGGCCGCTGTCGGGCATCCTGACCCGAGGCCACTGATCCCCCCCCCGAAACGACCGCATCCAACAGTCCGGACTCCGTAGACCAACCTGCTTTCTCGAACCTGCGAGCTCCTGGCGGGCGACGCGCAGACATCCGCTCCCCAACTCAAGCCCCCCAGCTTCGAAGCGATCAAACGCCTTGCGCCGCAACTCAGAAGCAATAGCATCGAGCGGCTCAGTAAAGTTAGCCTCGTGCGCTTCCAAACCTGGATCCCTGGCCCAGGGAAGCCCCCGCGCACGCGGCCCACTGGGGACATTCCGAATCCAGGCAAAGCTCCGAAAGAGGTCCAACGAGCACCTTACAAAGCTGTAATGACAGCGACGGCTGGCCCCCAGACTCACCCTCACGCAGTCTCGGGCCCCAGCAAGCGCGGGCCGAGAGACACCCGCGGCCGAGCATCCCCAGAACGCAGCGACGGAGTCGAGCGCCAAACCATGAGCCACTCGAACACAAGCAGCCCGCGCAACTTAAGGGCAGGCTCCTTCCTCCCCGTGCGGGGAGCCAAGATGGAAGCTCCTCGCCTGCCTGGCTTTCTTTTTACCTGCAGCAGCTTGCGACGCCTGTCTCGTCAGCCCAGGGGATTGCGTCGACTGCCGCGCGCAGCCTGCGGGGGCGCGCCCGCGCTCCGCGGTCCGCGCATCACTGCGCACAAGATAACAGGGCCTCTGACCTTGCAAATCCGAAAAAAACTGCTTAGACGCCTTCTTCAAACGATCCCTAGGCTGGGCCGCGCGCCAAGGCTTGCACAGCGATGCGCCGCCGACTCTGGTCGACTGCCCCATTGACCAACTTAACAAAACATCTGGGCCTACCAGAGACTCTCGGAACTCATCGGACATAGTCTTAGAAGCGCATGGCGGAGATCTGACAAATTACTGTTCGCGAAGCCCCCAGGCGAAAGAAGACGACGCCTGACGAGGCGACGGGGTCGCAACTCAGGCGCGACGTTCGCGCCTCGCTACAGCGACATATAGAAGCGGCCAGATGCTGGCACCAACCATGGGGCACGCGCAGTGAGCTCTCTGAAACACAGAGAACAAAGACACCTTTGCAACTGGATGGCCTAAACGAAAGCAGGCAAGGGTTGGCCTGGCTGGCTAGACCGGTCCACGCGACTTGCCTGCTCCTCGAAGAACCCCAGGTGCCAGATCTTTGAACATAGAAGTGCGTGTGCATATACGTATATGAGAGACTCAAGTGCCATCGATATCGCTGGAAGTCAGAGATGATCAACAGTATTGGTTCTCATCGCCAAACTCGGAGAACTGAGCCTCTGTGCCAAAGAAAGAGTGGCCGTTTGGGCCCCAACTAGAACAGCCGCTTCGTCTACGCGACCGCGCAAGCGGCGCTGAGCGACGAGTTCCCTCGAACGGCGGTGCCCCAGAAGGCCCCCAGGGAATCCGCCCAGGAAGCCGCAACTCCTGACGCAAGCTGGCTCCAACATTAAACAACCTTTCTCCCGACCAGAAAGGGAAGCGCCGCTTCTCTGAGCTTGCGCGCGCACGCGCGCAGCAATCCTCCGTGCCCCCCCCCCCTCGCCCTTGCGCAGCGCCCTCCTGGGCCTCGCGACCGGCCCCCCCACCCCGCACGCGGGCGTCGCAGCGCCCCGGGCCAGGCCGTGCAGGCTCCGGCCGCGGCCCTCCGCGCCCTCCGCGGCAGGCCCGACTCCGCTCCCCCTCCTGGCGGCAGCCTCGCGCCTTTGCTGCCGTGCTTACTCCAAATCCCTCATTGATCGTCCCCCGTGTCCGGCGAGACGGCGAAGGACGCTACGGTGGGCGAGGCTGCGAGGTACGCTGCACGGATGATGGGGAGGCGGAGGCCTGCTGCCGCTGCTTGCACCAGCCGCTCCTGCCCTCCCCCCCCCCCGCCCAACTCACCAATCTCCCCGCTCCTTTCGCCTAGAGCCTCTTCCTGCTGAAGGCTGCCGCGCTCCTGCCCAGTGACGTCCTCAAGTCTGCAGCAGCAGGGCTTCGGCTTCCCCTCATATCATGAGCTGCTCGCTCCTGACAACTCCTGCGCGCTGGTATGGGAGAGCTGCTTTCAGACTGGCGCGCGCACGTGGCACTGTGCTGGCTGGCGCCTCGCCAGTTTCCGTCACGCCGAGCAAGCTCCCACCCAAGCCCCATCACTGAGGAACAGCACCGTGACGAAAGCACTGCCAGCCAGGATGCTCCATACTCTGCCGCCCAACATGCGTCCTTCCAGGGATATCGGCAATCCTCCTCCTCCTCCTCCTCCTCCTCCACCTCCTCCTCTCCCTCCTCCTCCTCCTCCTCCTCCCCCTCCTCCTCCTCCTCTTCATCCTCCTCCTCCTTCTTCTTCTCCTCCTCCTCCTCCTCTTCCTCCTACTCCACAGTTACTCAATATGGATACTATTTTCCTCCCCCCCCCTCCTCCCCCCCCCAAGACCCCTATGAGGGAGAGCGCGCCTCGCTCCGCGTACTGTGTTGTTTTACACATGGGATTCTTGCGACTTGGATCCTTGTAAGCGAATAGAGGACATCGACGCCATGGTAAGGGATGGGAAAAAGGGGTAGGAGGTCATATAAGACGCTTGCGCACCAAGCGTGGCTTGTTTGTGTCTCTCTCTCTCTCTCTCCCTCTCGCGTTCTCTCTGTTTCTGCTTTATCTCTCTTTCGCTCTCTTTCTCTCTCTTTCTCTATCTTTCTCTCTCTCTCTCTCTCTCGGTCTGAGGGTTCGTCGAACGCGGCCATCCCGCCCGCCTGGGGCCAGTCGGCCCTGGTGGGTGATCAAACTTGAAAGCCAGGCGACTCCAAGGGCAGGAGCCCCTAGAGTCGCCAGCTGGTAGGAGGCAATAACGTACGTGACAGACGCGTGCAGGAAGGACAGCAGGAAGAAGAAAGGCCCATCATGAGGCAGACACACCGCGGCTGGGGCCGCGTCGACGCTGGATGCAACATCCGTTGCTACATTGGTGGGGTATGGTACCATCTGGGTGGGCTCGTTGAGGTCGATGGTGGCCCTCCAGGTCCTCCTGGCGCTGGAGCTTCGCGTTGGCGGTGCTACGTGTTTGCGTGCTGTTGGTCGGGAAACGCCCCTGCCTGGAATGCCGATGAAGATCCTGCGCGGCGATCGGGCATGGCGAACGTCTCCTCTGTGGTGCTGACGCCGTCGACAAACTTTGCCTTAGGCGATGGGGCGTCGATCAGCACGACGCTCGGGTGGTCCCGCATGCCGGGGTCTGTCGGTCGGTCCGGCTGCCGTGCCATTATCGATCCAAGCGTCCATGCGGCGGGCGTCGTTGGTACGGGTGCGTCGCATTCTGCACTTCCCGGCGGGAGCTCGTCTCCATCTGCGCTAGGATTTGATGGATGAAATTGGTGTTGTTCGTCTTGCGTTGAAAATGGTGCGTTTTTTGTTGTATGTGTCGTTCTCTCGTTGGAGATTGCGCGGGCGGGGTCAGCCCTGGCGCGGTATGCTGTGCAGCCATGGGTACAACTGGTTGAAGGAATCCATTGGTTCCCTCCTCGTCGCTGGGGTCTCGATAATCAGGGCCATCTCGATGGCGTCCACCATCTCCACGTTGTCGACACGCTGTTGTCCTTGAGCCGCTGCTACATGGCTTTCCAATCTCTCCAAATGGCCTCTTCTGGCCGGTATACCTGGATATCGTACTGGTGTTTTGTTTTCTGTTTTGCCGCGCCGATTTCGCTCGTGGCAGTACCTGTTGTAGATGGCCTTCGGCCTGGGCCGCATGCCGTTTGTTCCTGCTTTCCGGTCAAGTCCTCGAGCACACTTCGGATAGGATGTTCGTGTTCTTGGGCTTGTGGACGCTCTGGATGGAGACCTCCACGCGCTTCTCCCTGTCCTGCATCTCGAGGCGGGCGTTGCGGAGCAGCTTGTGGGACTGCCTCCAGCGACTCCGCAGCTCGGCCCGCCCGCTGGAATCCTTAACCCTCCGCGCCTCGATGACGGAGACGCGTTTTTTCTGCCTCCCACATCTTATTGTAGTACGGCAGGTTCGTGTCGTGTCGACCCCGGTGTTGGTTCCTGACACCTCGGGGATCATTCAACCTTGAACGATCGGCCATTTCAGAAACGTCCAAATCGTTCCACATCGAACGATTCTGGGTCGCCCGCGGCGTTCAAGGTTGAACGCCACTGGCAGGGTCGCCGCCGGTCGACACGACACGAACCTACCGTACATATCCCTTCCATGGCCGTCTTGCCGATGAATTGTAGCTGCCTTTGGCGGTTCTTGTGGTCTTTGCCTTGCGCGGCGAGTCTCTTGCCGAGCCTGTCGGCGGCGTGCGCATGCCTGTCTCGAAGGAGGTCGCGCTGCGATTGGTGCTCATCGTGTTGGCGTCGAGCTCCTCCTCCGTGTCGTGCGGCCGTCGCTTTGGTCTGGATGTACTCGTGGAGGGCCGCCACCTTCTCGTTATTGAGCGTGGCAGTCGTCAGCTCCTCTTTCAACTCGTGCTGGTAGTGCTGTGCTGGCTTGGCTGCACGTTGTTGAACCTGTTGTTTCTGCCACCCCCCCATTGAAAAACTTGGAAGTTTCATGTTGGGCCCTGTGGTCGAAAAAAGCGGAGAACGCGATTGAAGTAGAGTCTTGGTCGCACTGGAAAGAGGCGCACGCGCCATGAAGGGCTCATCGACACCAGTCGGCTAACGAAACACGTAATTCTGACAAAACGCACAGAAAGACCGCACAAGGACGCAAGCTCCCCCACCCCCACCCCCAAGGCAATGTGCAGGCCTCTTGACCCCTTGCGAGAGATTGGCTCCAAGAGCTCATCTTGCCAGCCGCGCGCAGTCGCACTTGCTACGCAAGTTGGGGCGACCTCGCAGACACAGCCGATGATGCGAACGAGCTTGCGACGACGACCGCCACGAGAAATAATCAAATAGTTTTCATCGGTGGGTTGCGGTGCGCGGCCACTTCAACTGCTCGAAGGTGTCGCTGTAGCTCCTGCAGTGCCGTCGCGGATGTCTTCCTCGCTTTCTCGGTTTCCTTATTGCTCTTGTAGACGCTGTCAAGTTCCTTTTTGGCCTCGCCGTTGCGAAGCGTTGGCTGTCCTCCTTGAAGGCTTTGAGGGACGCTCCCACGTCTTAACCCTCACTCGTCTTCTGGGCCCTGGCGTTCCTTCTTGGCGATAATGCGGAACTCCTCTGGGCGCCGTCTCTTCGCAAGATGACTGCCTCGTTGTCTGCTGCACCAATATCGTTGCATGCGTCGTCCCGC